CCCGATGCCAACGGGAAACATCTAAATTTGATTCCTGAGTCGTGTAGAGCAAAGGCTTTTTTGCAGCTTCTCAGCCATTTCACTCCACCTTTTCGTCATGTTCCCACTATATAGCACCCCTGCTATCACTTCAGATGAGTACCAAAGTGTCGCGCCTTATGCAGGGAGGGGGGGGCAATAAAAAAGGACACTTTGGCCGAGTCACATATCAGTAAAGTTTTCGCAGCCCAGAGAGAAGATGTGGATACGAGTACCAGGGCGGAAGATACCCAAGATGTTCCTCGATAAGCAGGAGCTGGCTCTCGCCCATCACCTTCATGTACACCAAAATATGAAGTCATCTCCAATCGCAGCCTGACTGGAGAAGGCCTTTGGAATTCATGTCACCTCCAAACAGCTGCGAAACTTCTTGTATGGAGTCACCCATGGACAGCTACCTGGAGACCGGCACTCTTGATCTGGAAGACCTCCAACATCGAGCAGCTCCGACAACGTCGCTACGGTCCAGGATATCATCTTCACCGCAGTCGCCAAGGCGCGGGTTGATGGTATGGACCGGAAGTTCCTGGAATGGGAAGACCGATATTTTCTTCGTGGACCCCGGACTGAAGGTGAACGCTGACGGTTACATCGACCAACTCGAGGAGAATATCCTGCCTTCATGTCGTCGCCCGTACCATCTTGGAAACTTCGTACTGCTACAGGATTGGGTGCATGGAATCGAAGGGCGTTGGAAAAACTCTCGCCTACTTGGAATCGAAGGGCGTTGAGAACCTGAAGAAGACGGAATATTCCAAGTGTGCCACCTGCCCTAAACCCCATCGATTACCGTGTCCTGGAGGAGCTCAACAGGGCCTACAGTGAATCACGGTCGCGTGGCAGAATCTCTCGATGGCGCGTCCAGAAGGCTGTGGCGGAGTTTCGTGATAGTGTACAATGTGTTGTTGAATATGATGGTGGAAATGTCCAATCAAAATTTAATAAAGTGTAACTTACATCGCCTTGAAAGTCGAGGAAAAAACGTGTTTTTTGGCCCTCTCTGTACATTCAATCGCCTGAAAAAGAAGGGGAACTGGAAGGTGGAAAACGCAGTGCTAACGCTTACTGGAGGTGGACGGGAAATTTGACTCTTCATCACGCCTACGTTTGACATTGCGAACGTTCCACACCGGAACAAGCACGTTTTGTAATGAGCCGCCGCTTCGATTCTGAACGCTCTGAAGTTACGATTCCTCTTATATGTGAAATGTCTGATGTCAATTTTTCAAGGGGAATCGCACTGTCATCATCCATCAAAATCCTGTAACTCGAATCCGGAACAGTTTTACGCCATGTCCCAGTCTTTCTCAAAGTCCGCCCCTTGATACTGTAAAAACACCTTTCATGATTATGTGGGAGTTTTTACTGAACAATGTCGGTAGCTCCACGCGTAGTAAAGGCGTCAGGGGCTTGTGACTTGTGAAAATTTAGTTCGGTAAAGATAAAAAAGCCTCTACGTGGTAACCCCGACTTGTATCAAAACTGTGGGGATTGTGCTGGTGAGTGAAGGGGAGCAATAGGAGCAACAACAGTTATCAGAGAATCCGATATGGTTGCGACGAGCATGAACTCACTCAATTTCTCTTCTTTGTTCTCATGCATTTACTTCTATCGACTGTGGGAGCGAGGGCGCTAGTTCATTGATCACTAGCGATTTTTGTGAGTTTTCCTGTGAGACAAGGCTTTTAAAATCTCTACCCCCAGTTTAGCGCAGGACAAAGCTCAGCTACATATTAGTGGTCGAAAAGTCCTGCGACACTTTGACCAATTTTTCAGTCACTAAAAGACATCTCCAATCTACAAGGTAATCACCACTAAGGACTAGGACTAGTGCCCTTCTTTTG